TAAATGTTGAACTCACAGCCGGAAGCACTGTAACTCATGTCTGAGTGAAGCTAACTGAATGCATGCATTTTCTCTGTAAGGCACCTCATGACTTTCTTAGGTTTAGGAACACGAGACAGCGCTTCAACACCGTGCCTGGGCCCCTTTTAAACAGCAAAATCACCAAAAGCAACAAAACACACAAATGTGAAAAAGATGGAACTAAATAGACTGCAAAAAGGACTAGCTAATAGTATGAGAGCTGAAATAAGACAGCCTTGCTCAGCCGCAGCCGAAAACACGTGTGTGAGGGACTCGTCTGTTTCACTACACTGCCAGTACTCATGGAAGAGTTGTGGGTATTGATTTTGGGGTTAGAAATAAATTTTACCAAGCAGGTGAATTTGCAAAAACAGAACCCCTGAATAATGATGATCGACTCTATCTTGCATTATTATTTCCCTGCTCAAACACCTTGTGAGGCTCCCTCCTGTCTATTAAATTAACTATAAACTTCACTTCACCTGCCTGCCTTTCAAAGGCTTTGATAATCTGACCGCACTCCATCTATTAAAAAACTTATTTCTGGCTAGCTGCAGTGGCTCACACCTGTAATCCCAGCACTTTGGGAGGCCAAGGCAGGAAGATTGCTTGAGCCCAGGAATTTGAGACCAGCCTGGGCAACATAGTGTGACCTCATCTCTGCAAAAAATAAAAATTAGCTGGGCATGGTGGAGTATGCTGGTAGTCCCAGCTACTAGGGAGGATGGAAGGATCACTGGAGCCCAGGAGTTCGAGGCTGCAGTGAGCTACGATTGTGCCACTGCACTCTAGCCTGGGCAACAGAGCAAGACTCTGTTGCAAACAAACAAACAAAACCAGACAAAAACCCCTTATTTCCCATTAGTCCCAAAAGGGCCATTTTCTTTTCCGGTGGGTTGGCGGCTCCTCTTCCTCACTAGTCTACCGAGAACCGGCTCTGTCGTGCCTCCACACCTGTGCTCCTACTATTTCGCCCCAGGCATGGTCTCCCTTCCCAACTTGTCTACCAAGTCCTACAGTTTAAAGGCTGGATCAAAGTTCTTCTGATTTATTTCAAAATTTTCAAAATTAATTAATTAATTAATTTTTTTTTTTTTTAAAGAGACAGACTCTCGCTATATTCCCCAGGCTGGAATGCTGTGGCTATTCACAGGCATCATCACGGCTCATTGCAGCCTCGATCTCCTGGCCTCAAGTGATCCTCTGGCCTCTGCCTCCTGAGTAGCTAGGACTACAGGCGTGCACCACTGTGCCTGGTGTAAAGTTCTTTGTGCAGCTGATTTATCCCTTCTTGGATGCCGTAGACCCATATCATAGTGGAGGTTAATTTAAAATAAAATGTCTTTTTGTGATTCTCCGACAGGCAGCCCACCTGGGAGGAATTTTCCGGAGATCACTGTCTGATGACCCTGTCTGGGAATTGGAGCCATCCAAGTTACACTGACCGTGTTTGGGTTGGGATATTGAGGAGGCTGTGGTTAAAAGCATACGATGGGAGATCCTATTGTACTTGTGAGTGAGATCCAGCTGGAGGAATGTTTTAGTTCTTCAGAAATACCAACGGGTCTCTGTAAGTAACATAGGGTGGTGAGCCAAGCACAATGAGATCATTGAGGTGTCCCAGCAAGAATCGATCTGTTTAGAGAAGAGACATTGCTTCTCTTATTTTAAAAAATTTTTAAACATTTTATTTTTAAATTTGCTGCCTTTAACAAGCTGCTTCTAACAGCCTCAGGGCGAGGGGCCCATGAGTGCAAGGACAGGAGAGGGGTCTGCAAGTTCTACTTGGGTAGGGCTTGGGGCATCACAGGAGTGCAGGGGCCCCCTCTCTGGGATCCAGTTTAACCCTGATGACATCCCCTATGCAGCAAATAACTCCAAGTAACCAGCAGTAGCTGGTCCACACCACAGTCTGTGAGAGGTTGCTCATGCCTTGCCTGTTTTCCTACCTCTTCATCCTAAGGAAAAAGACCCACAGTCTGAGTGCCCTGTTCTGGGACATAGGTGGGGAACAGGCAGGGATGGGAGGTGGAGAGCACTTTCTTCTGCACCCAATAAATAGATGCCTTTTATTTTTGATGCAAGGCCTCCCTCTGTCACCCAGACTGGAGGGCAATGGCGCAGTCGTGGCTCACTGCTGCCTCAGTCTCCAGATGGCTCAAGCCATCCTCCCCCATCAACCGTCCAAGTATCTGGATTTACAGGTGCATGCCACCATGCCCAGCTAATTTTTTCTATTTTTCTGTAGAGATGGGCTTTCACTGTTTTGCCCAGGCTAGTCTCCAACTTCTGGGCTCAACCGATCCACCCTCCTCGGCCTCCCAAGTCCTAGGATTATAGGTGTGAGCCACTGCGCCTGGCGTTTTTGCCTTTTGAAAGTATCTGTTGTTAATAGTATTCAATTGGGTTGAACCTTGCTAGTGACCAATGTGAATTTGCATACATTAGTCTATGCAAATTTGCATACCATCAGCAAATTTGTGGTGCGCAGAACTTCAGAAATAGAAGGAAGCTAACGGGGGTGTCAAATGAAGCTTCTTTTTTTTACCTGAAAAGAAACCGAAGTCCAGCTCAGGGAAGGTCACAGCTAATTCTTATGGGGAGACAGACCCAGGGACATCATGGTACCCCCGAGATTAGTACTGCCCCTTGAACATCCATATTTTCTGTCCCTAGCCCATTGGAACCCCTTAAAGTTGGTCCCTCGAGCTTGGGTGATAGCACAGGTGATGGAAAGTAGGCAGGCTTACCATTGAAGCTCCAACCTAGCTCTGCACCACATCAGCTGTGTGACCTTGAGCAAATCACTTAACCACTCTGAGCCTGACATTTGTAAATATCAAGGTAGCAATGCCCTCTTCACTGCCCTGTTGTGACAAATAAGATATATTCCATAGATATGATCCATGTAATATTAAACTACCATTTACTGAGTCTCCCCTATGGAAAGCACCTAGTAGGTGCTCAAAAACTCCCAGTCCTTTCTTCCCCTCCCTTAATGTGTCACTGCATCCGGGTAATTTATGTCTATTTCCTGTGTTCCTTTGAGAAGTGCATGTCATGCTCTGCACAAAAGTGACTCTTACGGTGGCATTTCAAGCATCATGGCAGGGTGCTCAGACGTTGGTGGATGTATTTTAAGCTGGGGTGCAAGGTGGGCACTCTCAGGGACTCTCATGTGTGTCTTGAGCCCTTCCTGTGAACCTGACTGACCGTGGCTTCCGTGCCATTTTCATTCCAGCCAAGAATGTTCTGAAACGAAGCCGATATCTGAGGGATCCAGGATGCCTGTGCCCCTCTCTTACCCTGTCTCAGGGGATGATTTAGGCATCAAGAATTTTCCTTATGGTTGCAAGATGATTAAAAAAACCACACACTCAGATGCTTTTCTGAGGGTGACATTTTTCACAGCCCCTTTCCCTCCTCCATAGATTTCCTGGGTTCCATCCAGCTCTGGCTCTAGCTCGCTCCGTGATTCTGGACAAGTCACTTCATCTCTCCAAGCCTTGTCTATAAAGTAGGGATAATACTCCTTCCCACTTCAGAGAGTCATTAGGGGATTAAACTGTGACCCATATGTAGTCAAGGGTCCAGCACACACTGACAACTCACCAAATATTAGTCATCACTCCAAACTAAGAAGGCAGGGTTCCAGTTGGGTGTGGTGGTTCATATCTGTAATCCCAGCACTTTGGGAGGCTGAGGCGGGCAGATCATGAGGTCAAGAGATCGAGACCATCCTGGCCATCGTGGTGAAACCCCATCTCTATTAAAAATACAAAAATTAGCTGGGTGTGGTGGCGCACACCTGTAGTCCCAGCTACTCAGAAGGCTGAGGCAGGAGAATTGCTTGAACCTGGGAGGCGGAGGTTGCCGTGAGCCAAGATCGTGCTATTGCACTCCAGCCTGGCAACAGAGTGAGAATCCGTTAAAAAAAAAATGGCAGGATTCCATTAACTTCCAGTCTTCCAGGTAGACTGTCTTAAATATTGGGCAATTCGCTTTCCTCCTCTAGGCCTCAGCTTTCCTATCTGAAAAATGGGAGTAGGACAAGGGAACTGGATCACAGGCCTTAACATGACATTCTGTGGTTATTAAATAAGGCCTCACAAAGACAGTGTCGGGGACCAAGGAGCTCAGGCCGCCTGCTCCACCTTTGCCACCTGCAAGACTGTATACTCCAGCCAGTAAGGACATCACTGTTCTCACTCACTAGTGTGTCCTCAGCCCCAGCCCAGAGACTCTGGCTAAGGGCTGACACATAATAAATCCATGTGAATGGACGCAGGAACTCCGCTCTGATCTGTTTTATCTGCTGAGTTTTTGCATACAATTTTGTTTGAACAAAGAACCACTTGGTTTATCTATCAGTCAGGGCTCAGCAGGAAACACATGATGCATACATAATTGGGATAGTTCGAGGACAGTTTAGTAAAGGAACTGTTTACAAAGGTGTGGGGAGAGTGTAGGGAACCCACACAGGAGGGTATAATTGGGGTCTAGCGTCAGCGGGCGCCATCATCATTCCTAACCAGATGAGGGAAGGTTAAGAGTTAAGGGGAGAAGGTGCCAAGGGAGAAAAGATCCTTGGCTGAGACCTTCAGTGAAGGGATGCAGCCAATCCTCAGAGACTCTGGCCGGCAGGAGCAGGGGGAACAAGGACCCTGACTCCATCTACCCTGCCCCTGATTTCCTTCTGGGCCTCCAGTTGGCAGAACCAAATCAGAAGGTGGAGGGCAAGACAGTCCACTGAAGTCCACATGGGGAGAAGGGTGGAGAGGCAATCTGGGGGTTGTATGGGGGGCACAAAAAAAGATGCCCGACACAGATGGCCAGCATCGCTTCCCCTGCCACCTGCCCCCACCCTCACACCGCACAACACACTCACAGCACAGGACCAGAGAGCAGATCTCTGCTTTCTAAGGATCTTTTCAGGTCTGACCTGCAGATTCTTCCGTTTTAAATCAAGGCTAAAATATATCGAGGCTTACTGAGGTCTAGTGGCAGCTCAGCGTTATCAGTGGGTTGGGTAGTGCTTACTGGTCTGGTACTAATGGCACAATTTTATTGCATTTAGGTCAAATTGTGCCTCAATTCCAATGTCGTATTTTTGGGTCATGGGTCTCCTCTCTCTTTCTTTTCTAAATGTGCAGGAGTATTCCTCCTGGTCCTTTGGGATGCTGACAGAGGAGCAGATATACAGCATCTCTGCCATGATATAAGGGCTGCTGCGGTCGGTGCACAACTGTCTCCCTAGAAGGTACTGCAGGGGTGTAAAACTTCCTCTCCCTGCATTGTCAGCGCGTGTCTCGGTGGATGTCTGCTGACTTTTTCAAAAACCCTTGTAGAACAGTGGTTCTCAAATGGTGATTTTGTCCCCCTCACCCCAAGGGACCTTTGGCAATATCTTGAGATGTTTTTGGTTGCCGTGATTGAGGAGGTGCTACCTGCCTCTGCTGGGCAGAGGCCAGGGATGCTGTTCAACATCCCACAATGCACAGGACAATCTTCTCTACAGCAATGAATTATCCAGTCCACAATCTCAATAGCACCAATATGGAGAAACCCTGTTGAAGATGGAGCCTATCCATGGGGCATTGATCTTGGAGTCTCCCCCTTCCTGAATACTTGAAGTCCCTCTGCAGACTCTTGGATACCTCCAGCAATGGGGAGCTCACCACCTGTTTTGAAGCCAGGCAGGTCTGAGCTCTTCTTGTGACTGTGTGACTCTGGATTTTCCCACAGGTGGGAGTGGCTCCACCACCTTGAGCTTCAGTTTCCCCCAGTGCCATGGGATTAGCAGCAGCCCTGCCTCACAGACGCTGCGAGGATGAAATGAGATGATGTGCCAGAGTTGGCTGGTGCGGTGCAGGGTATACAGAGAGTGCTCAATAAACGTTTCCTGCTGCGAATGCCCTGTCCTGGTTCACTCGCCTGCATTGTGGAGCAGATGAACGGTAGGGTTTCTTTTGTCTCCAAAAATGAAGCACTGAGTGAAGAATAACGTGTAGGTCTTTGGGGGAACTTTCCCCTTTGGGGTTGTTTCCCTGTAATATTTGCTCATGAACATTTTGGCTGAATCATCTCTGTGGGTGTTGGAAGGAAGCCTTCTAGCCTGGTTTTATGACAGTCTGTGAAGGGAGAATCAGAATTCCTAAAGATGGAAGCAGTGGGGTGTCAGTTAAGTTGGGAAGCTGATGGCTCTGAGGGCCACCATTCATCACATTTCATTGAGGGGCAGCTCTACTTGCTGCCAAAGGGTGGGCTTGGGACCCAGCAGGGCCTAGCTTGGGAGACCGGAGTTGGTGGGATGTGAGATGGGGGATGGCCATCCCCGAAGTGTCCCAACATCTGGGTCCAGACAGCCCTGTACTCCTGGAGGAATTGCTCAGCACTCTGTATCTGCTCTCCCAAATGCACGGCTCTGGGGAGATATGTAGGGCTTGGGGAGGAAGTATGTGCAGGGCTCAGGCCCGGGTCCATGGACTTTGAGAAATGACGCTTCCCTTCATTCTCATAATTGCTTAAAGCCCTCCTTCTGTGCAGGCTCCATGCTCATTCTCTCATCTTGTTCTACAATTATCCCGTTTAGTGGATGGAAAGATTAAGGCCCGGAGAGGTGATGCCCCTTTCTGAGGTCACACAAATGAGAAGGGGCATGGCTGGGACTCATTCCAGGTGGCCGGGCTCCGGAGCCTGCTCCTGTGTCTCCGGCTCTGCTGTGCTGGCTTCTGCAGAGCCTGCTTGTGGCTTGGGTATCAGCATGCACCTCAGCCCTCCTCCATCCATTTCCCCTTAGCCCAGGATCCTCCAGTCTATGCGAGAAACCAACTGTTGACAACGTTTAATCTCTCCTGGAGATTAGTGATAATTTGTGGCCTCACCAAGGTGGGGAGAGTTATTCAAAGTACGTATAAAGTCAAGAATGTAAGATAGAAAGCAGTGTGACCAAGGGCATGGAACCTGTGGAGCAGAGGGACATGGCGGGGATGGACAGGCCAGGGAGCCTAGACTTGTGGGAAGGAGTTACTCAACATTTCACATCTACCTGCTGTTCCCTAGGACAGGGACCTGCGGGTTTTTGAGGGACCAGATGGAAGAACGTGGGAAGTGTGGGTTTATGGGGAGGACGTGTTTCCTGAGGAGACAAGAGAACAATGAGAGATGAGAGAGAGAATCCAAGAAGAGACAGAAGAAGGGGAGCAAAGAGGGGAGGGTGAGGGGGAAAGGGACCAGAGAGAAGAGATGACAAATAAGGGTGACCATGACTGCACTGACCTCCTGTTGTGGGATGGATGCTGTACTAAACACTCCTGCCTGCGTTACCTCGCGTCCTTAGGACAATGTGATAATGCAGGTTCATTTATTCCCATTCTACAGATCAGAACTCAGGTTCAAGTGAGCTTCCCCAAATTGGAGAACTAGCCAGCAACCAAAGCTGTGATTCAAATCCAAGATCAACACACCAGGGGAGAGATTTCTGCTTTTCCCCACTTGTCTTAGTCTGTTTGAGCTGCTATCAGAGAATACCTGAGACTAAGTAACTCACACGCAGAAATTTATTGCTCACAGCTCTGGAGACTGAGAGGTACAAAATCAAGGTGCTGGCAGACTTGGAGATTCTGATTCCAAGATAGTGCCTGGAATGCTGCATCCTCCAAAGGGGAGGAACAAAACACTTCATCTTCACATGGCAGAAGGCAAAAAAGAGGCAAAAGAGAGCCAAACTCATCCTTTATAATGGCATCGATCCCACTCATGAGGGCAGAACCCTCATGACCCATCCACCTCCCAAAGGTCCCATCTCTCTCCACTGTTCCAACAGCAGTTAAATGTCAACACGAGTTTTGGAGACACACATTCAAACCCTAGCGCTGCTGGAAGGTTTTCTCCTAGGGTGTGTTTGAAGGAGCATAGGATATGGGGGTGAAGTCACCTGGGTTCACGTTCCACCCCTGCCTTGTGTGCACTCATTGGGCAGCACTGGGGCCAATGAAGTTCTCAATGGGGCCAATGGAATTCTCACTGGAACCAATAAAGCCAGTCCCTGGGAGGTGGCTCCCTGCTTCTTGTGTGCCAGGTAACCTTGGACCTATTCTGTCACCCATCTGAGCCTTATGTTCTTCGCCTATTAGAAATAGTAAGATAAACCTTCACAAGGTGGTTGTGAGGACTGAGTCAGCTGATCCCCGGGAAAGTGGTGTCTACATTTTAAAGGGTTGTGCTTGCACAAGGGTTTCTATTCATCATCACTGTTTCTGGTTTCTAGAACCTGGGTTTTCCCCAGACTCCCCGAGGCGCAAGATCAACCTGGTAACATATGTTACTCTGCAGGTAGCAGCCCTGCACCTGCAGCCCGCTCTCATTTCCACCAGCCGGAGTTGCTACTCATTGTAGCAACCATGTGTTTCTTTCCACTGCTGGAGCCTCTGGTGTCCCCTGCTGGGCCACTGTCCTCGTGCCCTGTCATCCCAGACCTGCTTTCTGCCCTACTGGGACTACAGGTCTGCATGGATCCCCTAGGTTGCATTTTCTGCTTTGTGTAATTTTTATACTTATTGCTCTCAATATAGTTAATTCTACATAAGACTGTAGGGTCCCATGTCCTGGTTGTTGTACATCTTCTAAGTAGGTGGCCATGGTAAAGAGCTTATATGGTTTCTTCACTTGCTCACCATTAACTGAGTCATTTATTTAACTCTTTGGTTATTTGCGCATCTACCCATCCAATGGTCATTTCATTTATTTCAGCAACATTCAACAGACTTTTACTCAGCATTTATTATGTACAGTTGCTGAACAGATAAATACAGTAACTGCCTTTTTCTTTTGAATCAGTGTCTCACTCTGTCACCCAGACTAGAGTGCAGTGGTGCAATTATGACTCACTGCAGGCTGGAACTCCCAGGCTCAAGCAATCCTCCCACCTCAGCCTCCCAAGTAGTCAGGACTACAGGGGCAAACCTCTATACCCAGCTATTTTTTTTTTCATTTTTTATCTTTTATAGAGATGGGGTCTTTCTATGTCATCCAGGATTGTCCTGAACACCTAAGTACCATTTTTAAAATGTGCTAAAATCCATATAACAGGAATGTCACCATTTTAACCATTTTTAAGTGTACAATGTAGTGGCATCAATTACATTCACGATGTTGTGCAACCCTCAGCACTATCTGTTTCCAAACCTTCACCCCAAACAGAAACTCTGTACCCAGTAAGCAATAATTCCCCGTTCCTCCTTACCCCCCAGTCCCTGGTAACCTCCAATTTGCATTCTATCTCTGCAAATTGGCCTATTCTGGATATTTCAGATAAGTGGAATCATACAGTATTTATCTTTTGTGTCTGGCTTATTTCACTTAGCATAATATTTTCAAGGTTCAACCATGATGTAGCATATACCAGGACATCATTCTTTTTATGTCTTAATAATATTTAATCATATGGGTATATCATGTTTTATTCACCCATTTGTCTGTCAATGGACACTTGGGTCGTTTGCACCTTTTAGCTATTATGAATAATACTGCTCTGAACATTTGTGTACAAGTATCTGTTTGAATGACTGTTTCCAATTCCTTTGTGTATATACCTAGAAGCAGACATTCTGGGTCATAGCATAAATCTATGTTGAAATTTTCAGGGAACCAATAGCTGCCATTTTGTCAGCCCTTATGATGAGTCAGACATTGAGTTCTATACTTTATTCAGAATGTAATCTAATGCTATGATAGCGCCTCAAGGAACTTATCATCCCTCAGATGAAGACACTGAGTTGAAGAGAGTGTATCAGTCAACTATAGCCGAGTAACAAATCACCCCTAAATCCAGTGGTTCACAGCAGCCATCACTTACTCTTGCTCGCAAATTTGCAAGTTGGCTCAGGGCTGGTTAATCAAGGCTGGGCTCTGCATGGGGAGCTTGGTTGAGGCGGCTCAGCTCCACATGCTTCGGAACCTCCTGAGAGCAGAAGGCTGGCCTGAGAATGTTCTTCTTAAGGCAGGAGTGCAAGAGAATGGATTAAAGCCTGCAATACATCTTTTGAAACGGGCATCCTGTCACTTCCTCCTCATTCTGTTGTCTAAAGCAAGTCTTATGCCCAAACCCAAAGTCAAATGGCAGGGAAATATACTCTGCTCCGTTAGTGGGATAAATTGCAAAGTCACATGGCAAAGAACACAGACAAAGGAGGGAATAAAGAGTTGGGGCCAATAATATAATCCAGCACAGGGATAGTCATGATTCTCCTAAGATCAGAATGTATGTGGGGTAGGGCCAGAATTCAACCTGAAGCCACTGGACTCCAACTCCCGAACTGTTCTGATTTTATCTCTTTGCTTTACAAAGACAGAGCACTGAAGATTCTGCTCTCAGGGTGCTGATTGATGTCTGGAAGGCAGAGACTCGTGGATTAGCAAGCATGTGTAAGAAAATGCTCTGGATGTCACAGGGGTGTAATTTGTGCATGGAAAATGGCTGGGGTGAAGAGGAGGGTAGGGAAAGTTCCACCTGAGGAGGGAGAAGTGGAAGAAAGTTTTCCTAGGGGGCTGATCTTTGAGTGGAGTCTTGAAAGTTGGGGTAAGGGGAAGGAAAGGGTGTGCTGGGCTGAAGGAGCAGAAGGACAAAGGCCTGAAGGTTGGTAAGGTGATGGTGAGCTCCGGGGTTTACATGCAGTTCAATAAGATTGGAACAGAATTTCCAGGGCTGGGATGAGGGTACAGAAGTGTGAGAAGTGTCAGCAGTTTTGAAGGATCTTGAAAAGGGATATCCAGGAAATAACTTCAGATTTTTGTACAAATGAGAAAACAGAGGTTCAGAAGGTTGATGGATGAGCCAACAGCCTCAAGGAGACTGCTGAGTATGCAGACTTGTGCCCCATCTCCTAGGGGAGAAGCTCTTTGGATGAC